GGGGGGGGGGTTAATTATGGATAATGGCATAATTGACAAAAACTGCATAGTTTAATAACTTTTAGAGGTATGCTTTTGTTCACTTTTAATGCTAGAGTCAGCGTACAAAGCAGAGCACTGTTCTTGCCCCGGTGATTGATTTAAAGAGAGTCAGCTCCAGTGATGATAGGCAGATTTCAGATCTCCCACTCCACCTGGCCTCCGTGCTAAAGGTATGATGCATTTCACTACAATATGCATTGATTTGGACTGGACAACACTCACACTAGGCTGCATCACCAGATGGAAATGGTGATTTTTATTTTTTTTGGTGTGTCTGTCCTCTATAGGAGCCTGTGCCAGGAAGTTTTCCCATGGGCGATGTGCTGATGCCTCTGGCTGATGAGTATGACCCAATGCTCCCTAATGAGTATGAGAAGGTGCTGAAGAGGCATCGGGAAGAGAGGCAGCGCCAGCGAGAGCAGGAGAGGCAGAAGGAGATTGAGGAGAGGGAGAAGCATGGGTGATTCTGACTGCTTACCTTTCCTGATGGAGCCTGCTCATAAGAGAGCACAGTTGTGACCTGGAGTTTTCAGCAGCCAAATGTACTGATAGAAACGCATGCAGTCAGTGTTGCTCAGAGGGTTGTGTGAGTAGGGCTGGATACCAAACTTCTGTACTTTTGTGGTGCTGACTGAAATGCTCCAATCCTGTTGAGGATCAAAAAGTTAATTTTCTTTCGGTGCCAAATTCCGATACCCTAACGGTAAATCTCAGCGTCTGTGAACATAACACAAACACGGAGGCCCGAGGGGGAAAAAAAAAAACGTATGCCCAGAGACAAACCTGTGAGCTGGCTCTGGTGTGTTTTGTTGTTTTTGTTTGTTGTGTAGTGTAAAAAATTCCTAAGAAATCTTAAGTGTGGCTCCACTGGGTTCCAGGCTGCAACCATTTTTGGAGACAGTGCAACTAAATTTTATAACTAGGTGCACCAGTATGACTTGCAAATATGCCCCTCACTTGTGGCTAAATATGCCCCATCATGTGAAACACTCGGAGAGAGCGAGAACTGGTGTGCACTACTGTGGAGATTCTTAGTGATAAACTTGCTGATTGCTTGACCACAAGCATCTGCGCTAACGGAAGTTATGCGGAAAGTGCAGAAAAAAGACAGAGTGCCAGCGCTCAGTAGCGGGATAACATTACATCATTTTTTTTTTCCGTGGAAAATGAAAGGTCGATCTGCTGGCCAGATTTATTTATGAATTACAAACATTTTGCAGGTTGTAAAAACAGGTAAAATCAGGGCTGTCAAGTGTCATGCATTGATCGTGAGACACACGCATTTCAACCAGTTTACACGCCACATCTTGTATTTCTCACTTTGAGAAGTAAGGGATAACGCCCACCAAGGTGTCCTGCTATATAGAATTAACTGGACGTGGCATGGGCATACAGAGTGGAGTTTTTCCCTGAGTTCATAGCTGTCCGCAGACAAGGTGGAAGTGGCAAAGCAAAATCCGATAAATGCGGTAGGTAGGGCTCTAAAGTATTAACCGTGAGACAGATGCCCTGCCCCTAACAGATGTAATCTCACTCCAAACTTTTGATGAAACTTGAGAGCCCTGGTAAAATATAAATAAAAGGCTGTGTCCTGATGTGATTATGATCAAACCCCCTAACCAACCAATGACTAACAAAACAACTTTTTCAAATAAAATATTAGTGCTGTAATGATTATTGTATTCTTGTTGCTGCTGAAATTGATTTAAAACAAATTGGTATCGAAAAAAGAATTGTTCAGGAAGTGGTATCAAAATCATGGTATTGTTCTGGTACTGGCATTGAAAATTTCTGAACGATGCCCAGCCCTATGCATGAGGTGTTAGACAAATGCACATGCATGCTGCATCACTGATGTGCTCTTTGTCACAGGAAACGTAAGGACTGGCCTGAGAGTGGAGCTCCCACTGGATTCTCCCGGTTTCCAGCTGAGGGAGACTCGGATGAAGAGGACGAGTATGAGAAGGAAAAGAGGAAAAGGAGTGAGTATTCACACTGCTGAGGTGGCAGGGCACTCAGGGACAAGGGCATGTGCCTGAAGGATATGGTAACTCGAACTGGAGACCAGTCACACTTGGCTTCTTCCCTCATGGCACTGTAGTATGATAAACAGCATTGTGATCACTCTCAGTACTGCTGTGTCCTAGTCTAGGCTAACGGCTATAAATGTATTCTGAGTAGTGGTGGGCGGTATAGCGATATATTGTCGTAACTGATTGCAGTTGTATCCACAATACATATTTCAGAAGAATCACAAAAATTGCAATACAGCACTCCATTTACTTTTATTTTGCAGAATCTTTTGCAAAAGTGATGTACAAGTTAAGCAAATGGCACATTACAAACATACATGCTGTCAGGGAGTCGACTATGGATAGGTGTGGCTAAGTTGAGCTTCTGATTAATGCCCTGTTACTAGTGAACTACTTAACACTATCATCATATAGACAAAACAAACAGATAAGCACTACTCACGCGATGCTTGTGTGTTCTGAGGCTGCAACAGTAATACAACAAAAACAAATTGTTGTGAAACAAACCATTTTCAGCTTGCATAACATCCCAGTGCAGTCTTCGTACTTCACTATTTGGTCATATACCCGGCTCAGTGGATCTTAATTTAGTGACTAGATCTTGAACTAAAAACTTAATTGATCTTTATTTAGTTTGCTAACTTGGTTAGAATATGATCAAACAAACTTTATATGCCATTAGACTACTTAAAATGTTGCACTTGGTCATACGGTAAACAACACACGGTCAGGGGCCTAGCACTAAATATTGGGCCTGGACAAGTGAAAGAAACTTGACAGCAGTCGGCTACACTGTTGAACAAACAGAATGTGCAGCACGGCTGATGAAGATGAATTGGTTCCATTCATTCCAGAAAAGGTTCTACTTTGATAGTGCGGAATGGTTTGTATACTGTGTGAAATTCGAGGTGGACAGGTCAGGTCAGGTTGTGGAGCCTGCCCTGGTGCAGTGCTTTGCCGCACCCATCACATGATGAAACACCTCGGGATCCCGGCTGGTGACAAACGCCAGCCCGAAATACGGTCCAGCCCGACCCTCTGGAAATGGCCATCCATCTGTCTCAGCCACGTGTTACATGGACATCCCCTTGGCCTGGTCCAGCTGCTCAAGTCCTCAGCAATGAGGATCCTGCAAGCTGGATCACCCTTAGGGAATCGCGTCACATGGCCATAGTGCTGTAATTGACATGGACTAGGGCTGCACGATTTATCGATTTCAAATCGAAATCGCGATTTGAAACAACGCGATTAGCAAGTTGCAAAAATCGCGATTTAGGATATACATTATACAGCACGTTGGACCCAGGGTTTAAAACTGCTGTGAGAATAGTTTTACAAATTCATGCCATGCTTCCTGTGTGACAGTCATTCTCACCAATCACAAGTACCGTGCTTCTTGCCTGCCAGTCATGCTCACCAATCAGAAGTGGCCCAAGAAGGCATACAGGCCCACAAACAGCAAATACGTGAAACCCAAGGAAAATGTTACATTCGCGGTACGGAAAAATACTGATTCCGCTACTGAGCTATAAGTGAATTGCCTTGCTATTTCATGGTCCGAGATTGTTTCAGAAAGGTCCTATCATCAATAGAATCGGCGAGCTCCTTTTAAACACCAGCTGCAATATACTTCAGCTTATCATACCTTTTTTTTTTTTGTTAATAGGCAATAGCATTAGTATACCGCTAACACATTAAAACAACAATGAGACAGTCAGTAATTCTTTCAGCAGCGGAGTTGGTGACCCCCAAAAAAAGCCATAAAACCCATAATACAGTGGTGTTTATGTCATATGTTTTTGTGCTTATTAAATTTAAGTGTTTCGAAAGATTAATCCAACAAAAGTAATAAAATAAGTCTTGCTTTAACATAAATACTAAAAGAATAGATCGCTTTAATCGCTATTACAGTTGAGTATGGGCACGCGGTCTTATTTAGAAAACATACAAAAAGCGAAGCATATAATGTTTAATCATTTGTTTTGTATTTGTCCGAGTAACAATGCAAATGAATGATAAGCTGCTTCAGTCGACAACTGCATTTTACTTCTCATTTACAATAAAATGCAGGGTTGGCAACTTCGGTCAGCTGCATGGAATTAGATTTTCTGTTCTCTGTTCTGCACACACATTTACATGTATGTAAGTTTTATTACCTTGTAAATAGTCTGTAGGGTTTGCAAACTGCCGTAACGTTTTTGATGCAGCTAGTTTTAAGTTCAGAATGGAATATAGATTTGCCCTCTGGAAGAGTTTGCAACCATGAACACGTACATTTTTTGTTTCACCTGAATTGATTTGTATAGAAAATAACGTATACAGTTGTTAAAAAGCGGAAACTTCGACCAACATGAAATCACCAATAAACGACTTCTATTTATTCAACATTTTATAAAATGCATACTACGATTAAAAATTTCTAGCTTTACGGTTTCAGGACAGAACAGCCACTCTGTTATGAACATTATGGTTTTTTGAGTGTTATTAGTGTTATAACAGTAGCTAACAACACAATAGCGCAAACAAAAGGGCTGCATACACTGAAGTAGTTCTTGCTTGTTCATTGGCGTGGGAAAAGGCGGTTCTAGTGTTATTAGGATGGTAATAAGCGTTACCTGCAAGATCGCTATTTTTCTTTTTGCTGCAATTGTTTTCATTATTACTTTAACTTGACACATCACATCTTTAAATTCTCATCCTTGCATTAGAATATAGAACAGTTAATACTGATGGTATCTCATGCTGCGTCATATGTTTTAAAATTACTACACACTGAATATTGAACTGAAGCTTGACATAAAAAAAATTAAATCGCAAATCAAATCGTAATCGCAATTTCTGTCAGAAAAATCGCGATTCGATATTTTCCCCAAATCGTGCAGCCCTAACGTGGACCAATCTACTGTAATTTGAAGACTTTATAAAGATACAATACAAGCAGTATTTCTTGTAAGGATAGACTTGCTGGTTAAGTGGTTAAATGGTTAATTAACATCACTACATGATGTTATACCACAGAATACCATATTACTGCAGAAACCTATATTCAGTGACATGATGGTATTAAATATGTTGGATGTGGAAAGATATATTAACCTAGTTCACGCATTTTTATTGGTACATTAACAAGCACTGTGTCTGCATGCCAACTCTTGGCAGTGGTCAACAGCGTGCAGTAGGTGAGCCATTTCAGAACAAATGGGCTTCTGTGAATGGAAAATCAGAATAAATTTGATGAACACCCCAAATGCAGATCTGTGATCAGTGTGCATGTGGAGTCCATCTCTAGCATCTTGAAGAGAGTGCCTAATTGCACATGGTGTGCTTTGGTATGAGTCACCTAGTCACCTACAGAGATAATAAGGTGGTGTTTCAGTTATTTCTGTCTCTGCATTTTCCTTTTTTTGATCATGGTATACTTTCAGTAGAAAGATTTTCGGTAAGCTATTATTGGCCTTCCTTGCAACAACCCAGAAGAGTATTTTTTTATAGCCCATATAATGTGTCATCAAAAAAAATCCCCCATCTATTTGTGTGGTATGCATTTTAAAAGTTTGCATTGTTTTTCTATGTGGTTCAGCAGGCAGTGTGGTTCAGCAGGTTAGGATCCTGTCGTCATTATCAGATCTCACCAGTTTGTGTGTGTGTGTGTGTGTGTATGTGGCCTGTGATGGACCGATGTCCTGTTCCCCTGCCTTGCCACCCCACGCCCCCCTAGGTTTGAACTGTGTAAGCAGTTTAAAAAAGGATAGACCACTAAAGTGACGCTGTTTCCCTAAAGAAATGCAAAACTGTACATTTTTGTCCAGTATAGAATTTAGAGTGCTGCTATTAATGGTGCTGTCATGCCCCTCTATGGAGGATGCATGCTAAATTCCCTTTTTTTCCTCTAAGGTATGGGGGGAGCAGCAATTGCCCCGCCAACATCCCTGGTGGAGAAGGACCGGGAATGTAAGTATGAGGTGCAAGGGTAAAGCCTTCAGGAGGAGGAATATCTCTTTGTTAACAAATTATAGCGAACAGACAGAGAAACATCACTTTGCTAACAATAGTAATGTAATGATTCTGCCCTGCTGCTCACCCCTCAGTAATATTGTTTATTTGTTGACCTCTCTGTGCTACAGTGCCAGCCACTGCATACCCCTACGATGATGATGCTCGTCAGCGTGGCCTCTCGTCGAAGGCAGCGATCCCTCCACCCATTTATGAAGACTTAGACCACCCCCGCTCTCCCCCTGGACCCAGCAGCTCCTTCCTGGCCAACATGGGGTCAGTCTGACATTTGTGCACACTTGTACATGCACATAATTGTGAGGCCTAATTTTAATCCTATGTCTGTTCAGCGGGACTGTTGCGCATAAGATCATGCAGAAATATGGCTTCCGTGAGGGTCAGGGCCTGGGCAAGCATGAGCAGGGCCTCAGCACCGCCCTGTCTGTGGAGAAGACCAGCAAGAGAGGTGGCAAGATCATCATTGGAGACCTGGTAGAGAAAGGTACCATGGAGCATGCTGCAGACAAGCACTTACAGGCACTTTTACCCAGCATCTCTGTCTGGGAGAGCTAAGTTGTTACTGTAGGAACTGTAGTAACTTCTGCTTCTGCGTATCCGTCCTCCATCTGCAGGTTCTACTCTACCTGGGGCTGAGACACCCGGCTGGACGGTGGCAACATCAGGTCAGCCTCTTTGTTTGTTCCTATACCTGTGTGTTTGTGTTTGACCATTTACTTCATTGGGTTTCTTCTCAATTTGCATATTATACAACTAAGCAAGGTTACATAAATGTTGAATGAGAGTGGAATTGAAAGTACACTGCTCAAAAAAATTAAAGGAACACTTTGAAAAGACATCAGAGCTCAATGGGGGAAAAAATCACGCTGGATATTTATACTGATATGGACTGGGTAATGTGTTAGGAGTGAAAGGATGCCACATCGTTTGATGGAAATGAAGCAACAGAGGGCTGAATTCAAAGACACTCCAAAAATCTAAGTGAAAAAATTATGCGGCAGGCTAGTCCATTTTGCCGAAATTTCATTGCAGCAACTCAAAATTGTTTGTATGGCCCCCGCGTGCTTGTATGCATGACTGACAATGTTGGGGCATGCTCCTAATGGAACGGCAGATGGTGTCCAGGGGGGATCTCCTTCCAGATCTGGACCAGAGCATCACTTAGCTGGACAATCTGAGGTGCAAACTGGTGGTGTCGGATGGACCGAAAAAATGTCCCAGAAGTGTTCTATTGCATTTAGGTCAGGAGAGCGTGGGGGCAAGTCAATGTTATCAATTTCTTCCTCCTCCAGGAACTGCCTGCACCCTCTCGCCACATGAGGCCAGGCATTGTCGTGCACCAGGAGGAACCCAGGACCCACTGCGCCAGATTAGGGTCTGACAATGGGTCCAAGGATTTCGTCCTGATACCTAATGGCAGTCAAGGTGCTGTTATCTAGCCTATATCAGTCTATGCATCTCTCCATGGATATGCCTCCCCAGACCATCACTGACCCACCACCAAACCGGCCATGCTGGCAGCATAACATTCTCCTTGGCTTATCCAGACCCTTTCACTTCTTTACATTGTGCTCAGGGTGAACCTGCTCTCATCTATGAAAAGCACAAGACTGACCAATTCTGGTATTCAATGGCAAATGCCCTTAGGCCACCCTCATGATGTCTGTTTCTGATTGTTTGGTCAGAGACACTCACACCAGTAGCCTGCTCAAGGTCATTTTGTAGGGCTCTGGCAGTGCTCATCCTGTTTGTCTTTGCACAAAGGAAGAGATACTGGTCCTGCTGATGGGTTAACGACCTTCTACGGCCCTGCCAGTCTCCTCAATGCTCTTGAGACTGTGCTGGGAGACACAGTAAACTTTCTGGCAGTGGCACGTATTAAAGAGCCATTCTGGAGGAGTTGGATTCCCTGTACAAGCTCTGTAGGGTCCAGGTAGTGCCTCATGCTACCAAAAGTGACACTGACCATAGCCAAAAACAAAACTAGTGAGATGAGGAGGGAAAAGTGTCAGTAGCCTCCACCTGTTAAACCGTTCCTGTTTTGGGGGTTGTCTCATTGTTGCTCTTCTAGTGCACCTGTTGTTAATTTCATTAACACCAAAACAGCTGAAACTGATTAACAACCCCCTCTGCTACTTACTAGATCTATATCCCAGAAATGTAATTGACTTGATGCTATACTCTGATTAAAAAGTGTTCCTTTATTTTTTTTGGAGCAGTGTATATTTAAGACAGGTGTTAAAGACAGGTGTTAATTTCCACACAGGTTAAAAAATAATCATCCCATAACTTTTAGGATCACTAAAAATACTTAGGAGCTTAGTTGCCTTTTACATTAGCTTCAATGATTAGAAGAGAATACTACAGTATTTATTGAAGACAAGAGCTTTAGTTTTTGACTCGTGTTTCCTGGGGGATTCTACCATAATGTTGGTGTGGGAATCTGCCAGCCAGGGGCAGCACTGGACAGCTATGAAAACAGGCAGTAGTTAAGCTGCCCTTTGTATCGGTAGCTTTGGCAACCCTTTTTCGGGTTTTATTTCAGTTGATGTCTTAGCTATTGTGCTACAGAGCCTTGCAATCGAGAAGCTGCTTTTCTTTCATGGGTCTCCTCACCTCATCTTCTGCGAAAGTGTGAGACCACAGCACCAACCACTGAGACGCCATGTTCTTAATGCGGACAGATGTCATCGTCTCACTGTATCTTCGTGTATTTTTCAACAATGAGCTATACCCTGCCACCAGCTCATACTTTGTGTCTCTTCCATCACAGTTGACTTGTCTAAAAAGCCAGAAACAAACCCACTGACGGAGATTCTCAAATGCCCAACCAAAGTGGTCCTACTGCGGGTGAGTTCTTCTGTAAACCAGTGGCTATGCTTTTTACCTAACCTCTTAGGCATAAATAGAAAGCATAGACCACTTGGTTTAATACAGTTAACTAGCATGTTAGGTTTCATTTTGGGTTTAACTGAAATAACACCAAGATTTTAAATGCCACTAACACTTTATCTTCTTTAGGAAAGACGTGTATATATAGAAGTGTTTACAAGCTGATTTTGTTTAGACCAGTGTGTGTGTGTTTAAAACATCTCTTTCATGATAGAACATGGTGGGAAGAGGAGAGGTGGATGAAGACCTAGAGGCAGAGACGAAAGAGGAGTGTGAGAAATATGGCAAAGTAGTCAAGTGTGTCATCTTTGAGGTAATATCTCGGTGATGTGATCGAGTCTGTGTGAGAGCATGTGTGGAAATTCTGATGGAGTATCTTCCCTGACAGATCTCTGATGTGTCTGACGATGAGGCAGTCAGAATATTCCTGGAGTTTGAGCGGGTGGAGTCTGCCATCAAAGGTGAGCGCAGCTTCAAACCATTGTGTTTTATTGATCTGCTGGGCACAGCCACAGAGGAGGTAATTTTGGTGAAATGCTTGCATGTGGTGCTCTCCTGCAGCGCACCTCATTGGACCATTCAGTTGACCTGTACCAGCAACATCAGGGGAGCTGAGCAGTATGTTGATCAGAGTCCCAACTTTGTTGGCACCCTTGGGGCTTCTTATCATTTCCTGTCATCTCTCACAGGCTCTGTGGTCAGAGTGCATGCATCTGTGGAATGTTTGCTACCTGCAACGTCCGTTTAAGCTCATCTAACCCTCAGGCATGGTCATGTGGATATTCTGTATTTTGTATGGCAAAAATGAGTGCCATCTGGGTGAATAAATGCCTACAAATTATGAAACTGTTTTAGCGATTATTGAAATGATTCTTTGCTAGACATATATGTTAACTCCTCCCTTACAAATTTACAGCAATTAATATGTGTCATATGTCTTCTGAAGCATTCTGACAGGAAGCAGGCGGAGCATGGAGATTACTCTGAGAATTAGCTAAAAAAACAGAAATGCAGAATGGTCTTTTCAGAGGAGATGCTGCAAGGAGATCAGACTCACTTTGCATAATTGCATCCTCTCAGTTAGTCCCTTAGAGGCGTCCCATACATTTGCAGAAATTAAAAAAAAATCTTAATACAAGTGCAGCTAATTTGCCTGTCATAACAGCTCATTGAAGCATTAATTATTCCATCCTGACCATCCTTGCTGTAGCTCTCTTTTCTAAGAAGTATTTCAACTGATTGCCTTTGTGAAATAACAGAGGAGTAGCATGTCGATATACTCAAGCTAGGGCTGCATAATATCACATCATGATTATATGGCACATGCACAATAATCACCAGGGCTTTAGATAATGGGTAAAATATTTGTCCGGACGCCAGAATTTCAGTATTACATTTCAGTGTTTCACTTATGCCCATAATTTGATAAACAGGTTAGAAGTCCACCTACAAGATTAATGAGAGGCATATAATGATGCCCAAAAGTTAGTTAGGGGTAGCTTGTGGCTCAGTGGGCTAAGCCTGTGTGCCTGTAATCAGAAAGTCACCAGTTCAAACCCAGCTTCAGCAAGTCGGCGGGTCCTTGAGCAAGGCCCTTAACCCCCAGCTACCTGGGCACCTCAACAGGTGGGTGCCCTTTGCAGACAATTTACTCTACAAAGAGCAAGATGAGGGAGGTGTAAAGACAATTTTCCCACGGGGATCAATAAAGTATCTATTATTATTATTATTATTATTATTATTAATCTGTATAAATTTGGCATATCTTTGTTTAATAAACGTGTCTGACTTTAAAAATTACTGCCACAACGACGTGTTTTTGCGTTGTTTATCCACAGTGTCCCCTCTTTTAAAAGATGTTGTGAATGTTGAGTGGACCCATTTTTTACCGCTGATTCAGTGCTTATCGCTACATGATTTACCGAAACGGTATCGTATAGTTCTCTGCTAACTGAATTTAATAAACATAGAGGATGAGGATCTAAATAAAGAGAGACACCCAGTAATGCCAGGCTAGTCATGATGTGTGTCATTTAGCCTCTTGCAGTAGCTTAGGCTGTCTTTCTCATCACTTTTCTTAAATCATTTCTATTAAATTTCACTTTAACTTTCACTGACTGGGGCATGATCACACATTTCATTCAATATCATAAACTTAATTCATGGCAAATAAATTATTTCTTATATATTTGTTTTGGCATTAAACTCATCTTAATCTTAGTGTACTTTGTAAATATGTCAGATTTATGTTAAGTTTGTAATTTGACATCAAAGTATAGACATTGCAAAATGCAGCTTGGAATAATTGCAGACACATAATAAAAGTACATAGTAAGCAATGCTGGCAGTTTGTTTTGATCCAAGATATCTGATCAACAAAGTCTTGGCTACATGAAGATGACTAAATGGTATAGTTGCAACATTCAGTTGGATTTATAAATAAGAAAAACCGAACTCATGTCACTATTTCTGGCTCCTTTCATTGAATATGTAGCAACTTTCATGTGTATGAATGAGCCATTGTCACCTGGCCACGTCCCTACCCCCCTTTTATGGCTCTGACTGGAATGTTTCTGGATCGCGTTTCACCGTTGCGCTGTTAATAAAATTACCATGTGAATGCGATTTGAATATGCACTAATGCAGCTATTTAGAATGTGAATAGCGATCTTCGGGTGAGAGCGGTACTATACGCCCCTGATGCAGGTAAATCAAAGTAAGGTGACATGGTTTACTTTCTTGCCGATTTAGCCTAATTTAAAAAACTTTAATACTTCCGACAATGGACGTTTTGAAAAGAAGACCGATTACGGATTTAGTCAGCGTTTTTTTTCATGTTTCTATAATAAGATTTCAGCGAGGTATGAACTGAAATAGACAAGAAAGATACTCGGCATCGCTGACGATGCCGTCGACTCCAGAGGGATAAAAGTATTTTTCTGAATCGTTCGGTTTGTAATGCGTACCGAACCGAAAGCCTCGTACCGAATGGTTCAATACGAATACACGTATCGTTACACCTCTAATCAAGTTTACTCAATTATTGGTATAATCGATAGTGATAGTCCTAATAGGTTACAGATTATTAATTACCCTGTTAAGATGTAATAGATAATGTCAGTTTTATCTCAACAGATTTTCTGTTCCACATTCTCTGGAAATATGCCAAAAGAAGGCATTTCTGCATAGCGAAAAGATGTGAAGCAACAAAATGAATGTTATATGCTACACATAAACTTTTTAACTGAAAAGATTATATTCAGATGTAATCCCTTTGTAATCAACTTTTTCATTAGCAAGTGTAATTTAGTTGCATATTGTTTTTGTCTGTAACTGTAACAGATAATTACATTTATTTTGCAATTTAATTTTGTAACACCATTACTTTTAACTAGTTATTGCCAGGCACTGCCAATAATGCTCTAGCAGGCCAATTGAGGTGCTGATGGTGATGGCTGGGGGCCTGCTTGATCACCTCTGAATATTGAAATATAAACCACCTAGGTGTCAGTTGGCTGAACGTCTGTGTCAAATTTCAGGCTGCTTTTGTTCTGTGCCCATAGTTTAATTTTTGTCTGTCTCCTAAACACCTTGTAAAATTGTGTCCAGTGTTTTCAGTAGGACATTGCCTTGTTTGATGGTGAATTGACAGATTCTATGAAGCTTTTAGAAATGCAGGTCTGGATATGCAGATACTGCTTGGTATTTTCATTCACACCATTGGCCATCATGCCATGTTGCGCTAATAATGTATGAGGAATCATTTGTGAATGTTATTCCATAGTTGGTTATGTGGGGCTGAGTAGAACACTCATTGCTGACTGCCAAGTTTCTTCACTACCACTCCAGAGGGAAGGGCTATAGCTACTATTATTTACTTCCTTAAAGTCAGTCTCACCTGGACAAGGACAAATGGATGTTATGAAGCCATGATCTAGCCTACTATAACATGTTATTTTAATTTTTTTTTCCCTCAGAGTTCTGTCACTTTATATGCTCTGATTAAAATTTTAAAAGTGTAAAAAACACAAGCAGCAGAATAGTATAAACAAAGGCTGAATTAATTAAATGTAGGAGAAGAAAAAATTGCCTTGTTGGGTTTTGGTTTGCTTTTGAATTACATAAAAAAGATGAATGGTACTTACATTGCAATAGACCCAATTCAAAACTTGTTTTTGGAATTTCCTTTGATTTCCTTTAAATTGTTCTTTTTCACAGCTGTAGTGGACCTGAATGGCCGCTACTTTGGTGGGCGGGTGGTCATGGCCTGTTTCTACAACCTGGACCGATTCCGTGGCTTGGACCTGGGGGATCAGGTGTGACTCCAGAAGTGACCAGAAGATTCCACACTGTCTATCCTTTAGATGACTCCTGTGTATATTTCACTCTGTATTTCTATTCATATTTTATTCATCGTCTGAGTGTCAGGTTTTGTGACTTGTATAGTATGTGATTGTATCAGTTGAGTCTACTTGAGTTATCTCGGAGAGGAGTGTGATTTGGCAGGAGGTTGGCAGCATGCATTGTCTTCCATTAGTGCTAGATTTGTAAGTTGACATAAAGTCATGCAATTGACGTGATGTCACAGGTAAGACTGGGCACTCACTCTACCAACTTGAGGTTCCTGTAGTGAGTAAGACAACTATTCCTGACCCCAGTGAAATGCTTGTGACTGGTGTGATTGTTATACCTGGTTCTGTGGACAACAACATGTCCCAGTGCTTTAAGAAAGGTCAGAAACTTCATTTTGATTCAGTATTGATACTGGACAAGCAAGCTCTTTGGTCTCATACATGGTCTGTGACTGGAATATCTGCTGTTCAACCAGCAGAAGAACACAAGGTCCTGCTTTTCTCAGACTTGGACGTTATGGGTCAAGAAGGTCAGCCTTGTTCATGGAAGATGGATTTTGCAAAGTATTGTCTGGTGTTTGATATTTATATGGATGGATTTGGGGTCACACAGCACTGAAGTGTGCAGTTACTTGGCAGCAAGAATACACACGAGTGTCCGGCTGCAGAAGGGGCCTGAGAGTGCGTGTTCTCTGTCAGGCCCCATCCACTCTCAAGCCTTTCGTCATTTCCGTTCGAACGACAGAATCCGTCTTGTCACGATAGATTACGACTTGCCGACTGCTGCTACAGCATCCATCTTGTCGCGCATATAATTCTTAAAACGTGGTATGTATGGCTTAACAGTTTAGAAATTAATCATCACATCGAAATACGCGTGTGTCAAACTCCTCCCCTTACTACAGGCAACTCGTGTTTACCTTAAAGTCCTAAGACTAGTGCTCAGTCACATAATAAAGTCAGCCAAAGTCTGTTATACTGTGTTCTGTTGGGTTTGAAAAATAAACAGCTTTCCGTTTGCTGTATTGTGAGAAAACAATTTTTTTTTATTAAAAACAACATAGTTTGTATATAACTAGAATAGTAGTTTTTCTTGTAGAAATTTAAATTAATTCTCATCTGCTCCTTAGAAAAAATTGTTAAACATCGTAAAAATATTGTATTATGGCCAGTACCAAAGCACAACTATTATATTTATTGGCAAACATTTATTTAAATTAGGCAATTGTACAAATATTTTGCAACTTCACATTATATTATTGTCTTCACAATATAATTAAAAATCGTTTTGTTTTTAATTAAAAATGACTGACATCATACGTTTACATAATTTTGAGGTATGTGTTAATATATCCTATATATAGTGTAATACACGGTAAGAAAATTCAAATTTTTAGGCACACTAGACTCTAGATCTATGTTGGTACACTTTACTCTAGATAAATTCATAGACAATTTATTCAAAATATTTTATTAGATTATGACTTAAAAGTTTCATACAAATGTAACGGTGCCGCAACAGGCAGAAACCTCCAACCCTTGCAATAGACAAGGAATAGGCAAAGGCACAAATCTCCAAAGATAAAGTTTATTAGCCAAGTATCACACACACAAAACTACACAAAAAAGATCAAATCCCCACTCATCCACCACTCGGCCTCCACTTAATTATAGATAACCAAGCCCTAGCCCAGGGGTGGGCAAACTTTTTGACTCGTGGGCCACAGAGGGTTCTAAAATTTGACAGAAGGGCCGGACCAGGAGCAGATGGATGGAGTGTTTTGGTAATTCACCTCATAAGAGAAAAAATAACATGGGATATGTAGAAAACGTGCTTTAATTTAAATAGAAAATTAACAAAAACATCAACCAAAATATCTCTTCCAAGTCCCACAGTATTTATTTATTGAAATGACTCTTAAAACACTGAAAATTCAATTGACAAAATACAGCTTTTTTAAAATTACTAACAGTTACCATTTTGAAGCATTTAAAGTTGTGATATCCTTTAGGACATTATCATCACTCACCTCCTGAACATTTCAAAAATGGTTGGAGATGCAGATCATCGGAACAGTGACAGCATGCCAGTATGTGGCCATGTTATATATATCTGGTGCGCATTGTTTATATTGAGAAGGCAGTGCACCTGCACACCACTTATGTGCGCACCTTAACAGAAATGACATGTAACACGTAAATCAATTTTTTACAGCTGAGGATGTAACACGTAAATGCATTTTTAAGAGCAGAGAAACTTACTTTTGATTTCAGTGGGAACAGTGTTGTTGGTGTCCCTTTTTAACCAGCCCATCAAAGTCTGGAGTCAGTTTTGTCGTGGCGATTCTCAGGATGGATCTGAGGTGTTGGTCAGTCAACTTGGATCTGTGGCTGGCTTTGTTGAAGTTCATGACGCTGAACGTCTGTTCACACACGTAGGTCGAGCCGAACAACGCCAGCATCTTCTGTGCCGTCCTCCGGAGGTTTGGAAACACCGCTTTATTAAGTGACGCATAAAAGTCATTCAGTTTAATTGCTGAGGCTGGGTACTGGATCCAGCAGCCCGAGATTCGGGAGGACCCCGCAGCATGTGCACTCGCTGCTCATACAGGGGAAATCCTGACGAGGATTTCCCCGACGAAGGACGCCTTCCTGGCAGAGGAGGTTCGTTTAAACCTGCAGCAGCTTAGAAGCATGGCGGCAGAGGCAAACCGGTGGCAGGTAGCCGCAAACAGCGGTTTGTCTTTAGACCCGCCGACTGAACTGCCTGAGGGAATCCCAATTTCGGAAATAAAGAAGAGGCGGAAAAGCCTGAGAAGAACGGAGACATCCACGATTCTCTTGGGGGC